GCGGCCGAGGCTGCGGGGCCGCTCGCGGGGACCGCACCGGGCAACAATGAGGCTCCCGCGGGGCGCGGGAGCGCGTAGGTGGGGTGCGCGGAGCGCCGCGGAGGACGCGGGAATCATTGTTTGGGTTCCGGAGCGTCGCACGCTGCGAGCGGGGCGGGGGCGTCCTCCCGGCCAGCGCTTCACCTTGGCCCGATGAGTGGTGCGAGGCGGACACCCGCGTCTCGCTGCGCTCCGCCACCCGAGGGCGAGGGGCGCCTGCCCGCGCCGGTCGTTTAGAAAAGCTGGCGAACTCGCGGAGGAGGGGAGGAAGGGGGCCCGCGGACCCGTGCCCTGGCCTGGGGGCGACAGACTGCGCCCCGCCGGGGAGTGCGGCGAACCGCGAGGCCCCTCCCGCCCCGCGCCCGGGAACCGGATCCGCGGATTCTGGGCCGGGAGGCGGAGGAGGCGGCCCGGCCGTTCCCGCGGGGCTCAGAGGGCGCTGGGTCAGCTGCGTGCCGGAGCTGGGCTGGGCCGGAGGGCGGTTGCCGGTGGTCGGCGACTGCGGGGCCACTTTCTCGCAAGCCTAGGTGCGCAGGCTGGGGCGCTGGGGCGCCAGGACGCCGGGGCGAGCCACACTCCCTGAGCGCGCCGCTGAGCCCGCCCGCCCGCCCGCGTGGGAAGCGGCCCCGGCGGTGGAAAGGCCGGGAAGGGGAAGTTTGTGTTAGGAGAGAAAGATTTGCAGTCGTGTGGCATGAAGTGGGGTGGGAAGAGAAACGAGGGAGAGGCCAGGGAACAGGAAATGAGAGCGCAGGAGCTTATTCAAGCTAGGAAAAGCTGGGTTCTACTTCTCAGTGGCCCTGTGGCATTTTTCAAACACTTCTTAAGGCCGAGTATGCGCGAAATGAAAACAAAGGCGGGGTACTGCCCGGAGCGCGCTGGGCCGCCTTCCGCGTGTGGTCTGCGCGGGGAGGGGAAAGGTGGTCCAACCTAGCGGAGGAGCCCTGACGGGATGCATCAGCAGGCCTGCCTCTTGCTAGAATAAAACAGGTTTGAGGGGAGCAGTCCTAGTCCCAGGGTTTCGAAGAACAAATGAGAGAGGTCTGAAATTTGTGGAGCACTCTTGCAACAAAAGAGCCTTGAACCGAAAAGCAGTGGGAGGGGGAAGGCCAGGGACTTGGGAATCCCGACGGTAGATGGCTTGGTCGCCCAGAAGGGGTCTGCCTGCGGAGGGATGGAGCTTCAACCCCCACCTGCTGGTCTGATGCTGGGCAGAGGAGCTTCCCACTCCTCTGCATCCGGATAGAAACACATGAAGAAGCAAGTTTGGAAAACGGTAGAAATACCAACAAATGCCGTGTTTAAACAGAAAACTTCCCTCTACTGAAATCAGTGTAAAGTTTCCCCGTGGGTGGGGTAAGGAGAGAAGGAAGAATTTAATTGTAAGGCTGCAAGGACGCTGTAAGAAATTATGTCATCGTGGCAGTTCTTGCACCAACAGCTGTTTTTCAGAGAGCGGGGAGCTGGGTGGCGAACAGACCATAAATACATTCTATATCGAGTGCTTCTGCACGTGGAAAGCAAAGCACACTCCCTTTCTATGGCAACAGCCACGGGCATGTTCATAGAATGATGAAAGGTGGGAAGTAAAGTACACGAATTCATTCCAGAGGGATAAAGAAATTAAGGGCAGGTCAAGGTTAATATCTACAGTCTGAAGAGGGTGTGTGATTAAAAGAAGGAAGTACATAAAGTGTTATAAAGAAGTGCTAGCAGCTTTTTAAAAGCTAGGTGAGGTTTTAAAAACTTAGAAATGGTGAAATAAAGCAACCCCAATTGTAACAAGGGGAAAAAATACATTTAGGGGAGAGAATCATTGTGTGAAACTCAGTGGATGTGGAGGGACCAAAACAAAGAATTTTAAAAGGGTGGATATTATTGGGAGTTAGATCACTACAGTATGTGTACGCCGCATACATTTCCCGTGCAGTTCCTACAGACTGTCTCTGTGTAGAACTTGACAAGTGGACCAAGGGAAGGAGTACTCGAGCCTAGCAAACGTGTGCGTTTTTGATGTTTAGACCTTCCTGCTCTACCTACATGTGTTTTCGGGGATGTGAAAAATCAGAAAAAGTAAAGAGGGCAAAATTGTTTAACCAAAAGTGTATAATTCTGACAAAGAATGTGCAGAGAGAAATTACAGAATCTTAGAATGTCAGAGCTCAAAGACTGTCAGATAGAATCCCATATGATGCTTCGCTTCTGTTTAAAACCAAGGTGGTTTGGGTCAAGAGTGCTGACCCATTTACCTAACTTTCACTATACCTATTTCATTTCCTTAATGTCTATTATCAAAATAACCATAAAAAAGATGGTAAAAGATAGGCCTTCTGAGTTTCTTATACAGGATACATGTACTGATTTTTTTTTTTCTTTACCTAGCACAATATCCAGAAAAGAAAAATACCCCAAAGCAGATGATATGCCTACCTCTTGATGATGATACACGATAATACAGTGAAATTTACAGTAGAGATTTTAAACAGTGAATGTAAAAGCACATGTTACCCAGCCATAAACTTTTCTCTTTTACAACTTAGGCAGTGGGGATACTGTTTGAAAAATGAGTGTCTGTGGTAGAAAATCTTTTACAATACTGAGTCATTACCTGTACCCCTCCCTGATGTAGACTGTCTTGAATGTCTATGCACAGTAAAAGTTTCAAAGCCTGTGAGTTAGTGAGGACAAAGATTGCACACGTGATTTCACCCTAATATAATTTGGGAGGGGGAGGAAAGCCCATTTTCGGAGGTAAAAGCTTTATTGAAAGGTGAGAGTTAACTAACTAGAAGCAAAACTAAAAGTGATTCCCAGAATTATACATAAATTTAAAAATATAGTCCTGATTTTTCCTAGGGCCAAATGTGCCTATGTACTGTTAGGCTTTCAAAGCTTATATTTTTTACGTGTCATATTTTGGCAATAATGTGCAGAAAAGGGGAATTTTCCTACTCAAATATGGAAAAGGCTTTTAAAAGCCTTACTACAAATTCAAACAGCTGGTGATATTATGTGATTACATGGTAAACAACATGTTTTGATTTGGGTGAGGAGCTGTCTGAAAATTAGGAGAAAATGCCATTTTATACGTTTGTTGCAATCAATACAGATTTCAGTTCTTTTGCTCCACATATCTTCTTCACACTTTCAGATGGGGCCTCGTTTCCAAGCTCCTCCAGTCACTTTCATTCAGAGCTTTTCCAGCCTCCTCTCTACCAGGGCATCCACTCCAAGTCCTCCTGCTGTGTACCTCTGGCCCCCCTTCCCTTAGGTCCATTCCACCTTTCCCAAGGCAAAGCCATAATCATGGCAGCCTATATTTACAAATCCAAATTGGCACAAATTAGTTTCAGTGCACTATTATGGTACAAAAGGGCCCTGTTTTGATATTCTTACCTTAGACTTCCCTTCCAGCCCAAGTGGACAGCTTGTTGTGCCCCATCCTACCTAGATGCCATTATGCTACTGAAAGATTCCCCTCTGTCTCCTCCCATCAAATCCTCTGGAAATGATTCCATGACACTCCGCATACATTTGGACATAGTCCATCTGCTCACCAAAAAATAATCTCTCCTGTCCTAGAGATTCTTTGGTATAATGGGAAGAGCACCTTAACCACTGTTATTCTAGTTTTTAAGACTCCTTCTGCTTCTCCCTTTTTCCTGCTTACTTTATTTTTCTCTCAGTGAAGAATTGACATTTATTGGATGCCTCCTTGAGCCAACACTGGCCCAGAAAAGCAGCTAACAAATGTTGCTTCCCTTACTTATTCATAAGGTGCTAATACCTTCCTGCTACCATTAACTACTATTGGTTCACCTCTTACTACCTGTGATCTTTTGAGAATAAGAGCTGCATCTTAGCCACCTATTTAGCATTCATTTCACTGCTCACACTATTTTGGACATCCTGGGTAATTACTGAATGCTTGTTGAATCAATG